TCACTAAGAGCCGAGAAAGGGGCGAGCATGATATATGCCATCCATCCTGACTGCGACTACCACACCCTGTATACCAAGATGTGGGAATATGATGACGGAACCAGGGTGTCCACAGCTCATCTCACCGACGGAAGATTCGTACTGATAAGCCCAAAGATACCCAAGCTAAGAATACCTGCGAACAGGGCCACAACAGCCAGTCAACCCTCGACAAGGGATGCCGGGGTCCAGACGGACTGGATGGTATGGTGCTGGGAGAACCACATGGAGAAGATTATTGAACTGGAACCATGCTTCGACGGCCCCTTCAGCGGCAATCCTGCAACCATACCGCCTTCCAGCAGGACATCCCCTAATGACACATGGAGGTTGGACTCTGAGAACGAGCCACCCGAGGAGCAGCAGGATACCCAGGCACCGTCAGACGGATCCTCATCAACGCACCAGGAGCCCAAGCGAGGCGAAGTCACCTTGCCTGGGGGCTACTCAGGTCTTTACACCCCGTGCCTTGATGAGTTCGTCGTCGTGGATCAATGGAACCGGCCCCTGTCACCTCCAGACCTCGATGTGCTCTCCATAGAAGCGGTGTATGGCGATGAAGAACTCATGCTCACGGATGATTAACCAACGCAGCGAGTGATCTCAAGGAGGGGGTGTCAAGTAGATTGTGATCCCTGCGCACTAACAACACTCTAAAAAGGGCCCATTGAAGGCCATGGGACTGCAAGGTACTTTCCAACTGAATAACACAAGAGACTATAAGAAACAAAATAAACTAGAAGAGTACTTTCCAAATAAATGTGATGTGTTAAGTGTGATAAGTATAGCAATCAGTAGAATGATGTATTAGACGTATTATAAAGGAATTACTAAAGAAATGAAAAATGAATAACTATGGTATGAAAATGTCATGATTTGATAGTATTGATTGGAAATGTGCATGTAATGATAGAAGTGATTGAAGGAATATGTTAGGACATGTTGAAGCTTGTTGCGAAATACTGGACTGAGTGTGACCGCCTCATGACTGTGAGTCAGTGAGAGGGAAAGGTCAGTAGGGGAAATGAGTGGACCAAACAAGGACATCTCTGAAACAAATGAACAATCTATGTGCCAGTAGTCACGTAGACAGGATAGGGGTGGTGGCTGATATGACAAAGAAATCAGCCACGGAGTAGGATATATAAAGAGAAGCCAGAAAGAGATCGGGGTTATTCCTCGGCGGATCTGAAGAGGCATCGGACTCGGAGCAAGAACATCACCGCACCGGACCAAGAGCCAAAGAGTTGGGGATTTGAACAACTAACATCTAGAGAACGCTTCAGAGATTTCTTCAGCAAAGCATCAACAGATCGCGCCACGTAGGATAACCATAACAGCCAAGACAACTGAAGAATCATCGGACTCGGAAGATTTTCTCCTTTTCAACTGCAACAAAGACTGAAGACTTCGAGAGACGGTTGAGGGCTTTGGACAAAGCCTCAAGTCTCCTCCGGAGTCCACAGCCCCGCAGCGGCGGAAGGATTTCACTGCAGGACAACTCCTTCCCCTCCCTTTCTCTCCAAAAAGAAGATAACCAAAAAACACTCAAGCTCAGCTATTCGTATCAGGTTTTGAATTTTAAATTTTTTATTTTATTATTTTTACTCATTTTTAACCAATTTTAGTTGTATGCTTGCCCTTGCTAACTTTATGCAATAAAATATATAATCACTGCATTTAAAGAACGATAGTCGACATTGAAGTTATTTCCTCACTAAGGTAGTAATCAATTAGGTAAAGTGTGTTTAACATCTTTGAGGTTCTTATAGGTTGCTCTAGCCACTGAAATTAACTTATCCTTGGGGCCTATTTTCCTGGCCACTAAATACCAACCTGGCAACCATACCAAGTGCACTGATCAATGAGAAGAGAGCTGTCGTTAACGGGCATGGCTGGGGTGGTATCTGGCTCTAGGGCTATTCAGTCAGGTGCTATCTCAGAGTAAGCAGGGTAGGCGTTCGGAAGAAGACAGTTAGAAGCCAGGCGATTCTCTTCGACACCAGCTTAAACAATCCTCAGTCATACCTACTAGGGTAATACCCATAGGCCTAGAGGATCGGACCCTTTAAGACGGAGAGCTGGTCCAGTACCTCCTGAACAGGGGTGACTCGGGATCTAAAATGTGCACATGGTGGTCCTCAAACGAGCGTCCTCTGTCCTTCAGATGTAAGTAGACTGCAGAGTCTTGACCTGAGGAGTTGGCCCTTCTGTGTTGAGCCATGCGTTTGTGTCGTGGTTGTTTAGTCTCCCCAATATACAGGTCTGTGCATTCCTCACTGCATTGGACCGCATACACTAGATTGCTTTTCTTGTGTTTGGGTGTGCGGTCTTTGGGGTGGACCAGCATCTGTCTTAGTGTGTTCTTGGGTTTAAAAAACACAGGGATGTTGTGTTTGTTGAAAATCCTGAGTTTCTCTGATACTCCAGACATGTATGGAATCACAATGTTGTTGCGTTTGACCTTCTTTTCCTCCTCCCCTGTAGTTTTGTTCTTCTTGGATCTTGTGGCTGTTTTTCACAAAGGTCCATTTAGGGTATCCACAGACTGTAAGTGCCCCCTTCAGGTGTTTCTGTTCCTTCTCTCTGGCTTGGGCGCTTGTTGGTATGTTTTCTGCTCTGTGGTGCAGTGTTCTCATGACCCCTAGCTTGTGCTCCAGTGGGTGGTGTGAATTGAAGAGTTGTGGTGGTCTGTGTGTGTGGGTTTTCTGTAAACACCAATCTGCAGGCTCCTGTCCTCTTCAATCAACAGCGCAGTCCAATAAGGCCAAACTGTTGTTGTGAACATCTTCTCGTGTGAACTTGATGTTACTGTCCACAGTGTTGTGTTCTGTGAAGGCTTGCACTTCCTGGCTTTTAATGACCCAGGTGTTGTCCACATATCTGTACCAGTGGCTCGGTGCTGGCTGTGGTGAGGCATGTTTCCCACCAAAGGGGCTAAGATGGTAGAAATGCGTTTGGCAATGTTGTAGGTGACCGAGTTAATGCTGCTGATAATCGGCCTGAGTGGGGCTCCTTCTTTGTGTATCTTGGGTAGTCCATAAATGCAAGGAATGGCTTCTCCAGGATACAAACAGTAATATTGTTCACGGGTGATGGTGTTGTCTTTCTGTAGCTGTTGTAGACATTCTATGGCCTTTTTCTTGTATCCGCTGGTTGGGTCTCGTCTCAGTGTCTCATATGTATTTGTGTCCATTAGCAGTGTGTTGACCTTGTTCTGGTAGTCCGCTGTGTTAAGGACTACCGTGCATCTTCCTTTGTCAGCAGGTAGGATAGTGATGTTTTGATCCTTGCTCAGAGATGTCACAGCCTTCCTTTCTTGGATGGTGAGGTTGGAAGGGGGGGCCTTCGCATTAGAAAGGGCTGCAGATACCTTTAGTCTGAGCTGTTCCACTTCTGTTTCTGTTAATTTGTTTTTCCTAATGGCCAATTCGGTGGCTGTGATGAGGTCTACTATAGGTAGCTGTTGTGGTGTAATGGCAAAGTTTAATCCTTTGGCCAGAACGTCTATCTCTGGTTGGGTGAGTTCCCTATCTGACAGGTTTTTCACCCATCTGTTGTCTGTTTCATGTGTTGTGAGGTTGTTGTCCTTTCTCCTCCAAGACAATTATGTAGGTTTTGGAATTTCCGGGTCTGTCTTTCTTTGCTCTTGTTGTGCTGAGATAGCTGTGCTTTCTTGATGAAATCCATGACCTTTTCCAGTGCTGTACTGTGCAGATATGTTTCTAGTTTGTGGTGTATGTTGTCCAATTCTTCAGGGCTTCAATGGTGAAATGTATCTGTCTCACTCTCTCATTCAGTAGCTGGTGTTGCGCTTTCTCCAGGATTATTCCGTCTCTGTGTCCTTTCACCGTGAAGTTTGTGTCATCGGCATCTCAGGTTAAATCGTAGATGGTTCCTGTAGTCTGCAATTTTCTTGGCTGTCCTTTCGTACTCCCGTATCAATCTGAGGGTGTTCATCCCAAATTGATTGGCAAAATGTCTGTGAAGATTCTCAGTCATCCAGGTCATAGTTATCTCATCCAAGGGATGAGGGACAAAACGTCTTCCAGTATCTTCAACCAAGTCCAGTTGCCCTTGACTTTAACGTTCGTTGGATAGCCTACTATTACCTGAAGAATATATCAAGGATTAAAGGATTTATGTCTCAGCAGGACCTGGAAAAGCTTATCCACGCATTTATCTTCAGTCGACTCGACTACTGTAATAGTGTCCTTACAGGGCTCCCTAAGAAATCCATCAGACAGCTGCAGGTGATTCAGAACGCTGCTGCTCGAGTCCTCACTAAGACCAAAAAGGTGGATCACATCACTCCAGTTCTGAGGTCTTTACATTGTCTTCCTGTATGTCAAAGAATTGATTTCAAAATTCTGCTGTTAGTTTATAAAGCACTAAATGGTTTAGGGCCAAAATACATTTCTGATCTTCTGCTTCGTTATGAACCATCCAGACCTCTCAGGTCATCTGGGGCAGGTCTGCTTTCTGTCCCCAGAGTCAAAACTAAACAAGGAGAAGCACCGTTCAGTTATTATGCTAAAAATCAAACTCCCAGAAGACTGCTGAAACTGTCAGTTCTTTTAAATTAAGACTGAAGACTTTTCTTTTTACCATTGCTTTTAATTAAATTAAATTAAAGCCGATTGGTAAAGATTGGTACCTTTCACTGCACTGTAACGTACAGTTTTCATTTTCTTTGTTTTTAGCCTCAGTGCCCTGATTGTACACTGCTCTGTAACTTTTACTGTCCTGTTTTACCCTGTTTTTTTATCCTGTTTTTATAATGTGTTTTATTTTTTCAATTTCCCTTTGTTGCTTTTATTTTTAATGTGGAGCACTTTGAATTGCCTTGTTGCTGAAATGTGCTATACAAATAAACTTGCCTTGCCTTGCAGCACATGATGTTGATGGTTAGAAACTCTCTTTTACAACCAGCTCATGAGTTTCTATGTGTTTGTGTTAAGGTCTTGAGCCTCTCTTCCACCTGACTCTGAGGAAGAAGTACGAGCTGCTGGTCGACATGGAGGACTTCAGTGGAAACAAAGCGTTCGCTCGTTACTCCTCGTTCTCCATCGACTCAGAGTCTGACGGATACAGACTGCAGGTATCTGGATTCACTGATGGAGGGGCAGGTGAGGGAGAAGTAGATTGAGTTTCCACAGGAAGGTGATTTTCCCTAAAGTCTCCCTGAAGGACTGGCCTTATACTGGATTATTTGGGTGATCCTTATGCTAATGACTGATGCAGAGCTGCACCAATCAGTGGTCTGCTTCTGTTTCATGAATCACATTCAGGTGTCTGTACCCCAGAGACTCTCTGCAGTCCATTTATCTGGACTCTCTTTAGGTTGTTATGTTGCAGTAACAGAAGTATGTTAGTATCTGTAGGAGTCGTAGCTGAGATAAATACCAGTACCCGTCATCGACACCACCTGTCAGGTTTGAACTGATATTAAACTGGAAATAATTTATATATTAATGTTCATTTTTTAGTTATCTATTTTATTTTTTATTATTCGATTAATATAACAATGGTTTGATTCAAATACAAAAAACTCATTATTAATTTAATATTTTATTAAATCATCCTGATAAAGTGAAACATAAAGCACATTGATGATAAAAGTGGCATTTTAAAAAATGTCTCGGACATGGATTTATTTCATTACTGAGAGTAAGTCAGTAATGAAAGAAATAAGTAAGTCACTAAGTCAGTCCGGACTTTGTCAGGATGATTAAAATGTTGATGACCTCTGGTGTCTGTGGAGGAGTTTGTAAAATATTAGATTGTCTAACATTTCATCCAGGTAAGACAGAGTCAGAGATCGACCTGCTGGTGACTTCAGCTATCTGGACCATAACTGGTCTCATCATTCTGTCTGATAGAAGACTGCAGGTTGTGAAAAGTTCAGCTGATATTTATAGTTAATGCAAATTTACTAACCCTGTGGTTCTTGTGTGTTTCTGTAGGAGACCCTATGAATCTTCACAACGGACAGAAGTTCTCCACCTTTGACAAAGACCAGGACACCTTGCCCGACGACTGTGCCAGATCATTCCTGGGGGCGTTCTGGTATGGTCCGGGGTGTCACACTACAAACCCCAACGGGGTTTATCGTTGGGGGGCTAACAGGATGCTCGCTGGTGTTGGAGTGACCTGGTACACTTGGAAGGGTAATTTCTACTCTCTGAAGACCATCAGCATGAAGATCCGTCCTGTGCAGTAGTTCTCCAGGACCAACGTACAGCAGAATATCAGCAGCTGATCTCTCTCACGTATCTAGAACATAATCTGACATGATGTTTAGATGGAAACAGACACATAGAGTCTGATAACGTGTTGATAACTGCATTAACTGCCAACATAGAGAAATGAGTCTCTGCTGGTTCAGATGTTACCTTCAGTCTGCTGGCTGCAACTAAACACACTCAGCTTTAAAGTCAAACTCACTAGTTTCAACACAACGTTTGGTGGAGGTTTGAAACCCTAATGTGAATCATTATCTGCTGTACGCTGACAATAAATGTGAAGCTGAGCATGAAGCTGATCTGATGTCTTCACTGTGTCTCCTGTGTCTCTGTCTGGATTCTCTCTGGTCAGAAGTTCAGAGGTCTCTTTCCTTCCTGTTCGCAAACACAAATGATCATGAGTCGCTGCCCTCTGGTGGTCACAGTGACAAACTCCAGCTCCACCTTCTGCAGAGACAAAAATCTTTTTTTTGCAACGGTAGATTTTTAACTTTAGAATTTGTGACGGAAATGTTATATTTTACTGTGTTTACTGTTTTACCTTTAAATGCCTTACTATAATTGTTACATGAAATTACAGTCCAACCACATTGACAACGGAACAACTCTCTGTGATTATGGTCAGCTTGGAGCTAAACCTATCAAACAACAGCTTTCATTTGCATCGCTAAAGTTACACTAACTTAATTACCTGTCCAGCAGATAACGGGCAACTTGCTTTCTGCCGTCATCTGTCAGTCTCTGTCCCGACTTCATCAGGCTGTCGGCTCGTGCACACTACGTGAACACTAGAAAGACATCATGAGAACATTTCCACCTGATACCAGGAGATAGGATGAATATCATCTATACTTAGATCATAAAAGACACAAGCTCACAGCGACACTGGGATATTTAAGAGTAGGCTTAAGACTTTCCTCTTTGATAAAGCTTATAGTTAGGGCTGGCTCAGGTGAGTCCTGAACCATCCCTTAGTTATGCTGCTATAGGCCTAGACTGCCGGGGGATTTCCCATGATGCACTGAGCTCCTCTCTCCTCTACTTTCTCTCCCTCTGTATGCAACCTCATCCCATTATTGCATGTTACTAACACAACTTCTCCCCTTTCCGGTAGTCTTGTGCTTTCTCGTCTCTCTCCTCTCTCCTATCACTTCCTGCAGGTGTTTCTGGCTCTGGAGCTGTGGAGTCTGGATCTGTGGTTGCGGGTCACCTGCTGCCCCCGTGTTCCTGCTCGACACCCTCTGCTGCAACGACTATTGTTACTAGTCCTATTGTTATTATTGTTATTATAATCATTAACATTACGATGGTTACCATTAACACTACTATAAATATCTGTACCATTTCTCATTTAGTCTATAGCAACATCACCTTTACTGTCTGTACCTCTGTGTGTATATTGTGTAGGCTGCCTCCCTCTCCCTCTCTCTTCCTTCCTCTCTCTCTCTCTCTCTCTCTCAGCCACCCACCCTGAGTCATGGTTCTGCTCGAGGTTTCTGCCTCTTAAAGGAAGTTTTTCCTTGCCTCTGTCTCCTAGTGCTGCTCTTGGTGGGAATTGTTGTTCTGTAAATATCATCATAGAGTACGGTCTAGACCTTCTCTTTATGAAAAGCGCTGTGAGATAACTGTTGTTGTGATTTGGCGCTATATAAATAAAATTGAACTGAATTGAATTGAGTTGGGCTTCAAGTTCACCAGCAAGGCCGACTGTCTCTAAAATATTTTACTTTTTTAATAATTTAGTTTTGGTTCATTGTTAAAATCAAATTTAAACAGATTGACTGTCGTTTTGTTGCATTTATTTTGCTTCTACAGTGACCTGCTGATAAGCGGTGGGGAATAGATAGATGGATAATTCATCAATGAAGCTGTATTTTTCTTTTTCAAAGCTGGTTATAAATTGAACTGGAGCTTTTATCAGAGCAAAAAGAAGGTTAAAGAGTCTGTTCACCCAGCAAGTGTTTCCTCACTTATCCTGCACATGTCAGAAAGTTACAACATGTATAACCTGAGCTAAGCTCACCATTCGTACTTCCTTTGGAATGACCACACCCAGTTGTGTGTGTGTGTGTGTGTGTGTGTGTGTGTGTGTGTGTGTGTGTGTGTGTGTGTGTGTGTGTGTGTGTGTGTGTGTGTGTGTGTGTGTGTGTGTGTGTGTGTGTGTTTTAGATGGTTTATGAAAACCCTCAGCAGACGGCTGCAGGCATTCACACTCGCCTGTACAACGAGCTTTCATCATTGACGACGGGAGGCGGAGAGTCGTGTTCGTCACTGCAGATGTAGGAATGATTTCACAAAGGCTACGACTGGAGGTGAACACACACACATTCAGTATATAGCACACATAAATAGCTGTTGCTCAGTACACCAGTAGTTTCTTTCTTTTTCAGGACGTTCTAAATTGTTGTGCTTGCTCTGCCCAATGTTTGTCCAATGGCTCTGCTTGATTTTCCCTCTTTTCTCCCACAGACAGCTCTCTGGTCTTCATGTTGTTCATCCTCTTCAACAGGAAATGCAGTCTTTACAGGTTTGAACCAAGGATGAAAAGTTAGACTAGTCATGCAGAGCTATTTAATGTTTGGATAATCAACCTAAAAGGCAACAGCTGGGCAACAACAAACATCTGTCAGTCACATGTTCCAATAGTTTTACTCACTTGAAAAATGGGTGGGTTCAAACAAAGGGTGGTTTGAGTTGTTTAACACATCTAGACGTGAATACCAGGAAATAAAAGCTGAAATTCTGAACTCTTGTCTCATCTTTTGATCTTAAACCCAAATGTCTTCAGTGAACAACCAAAATAAAGGAATTTTCCTTACTGGTACTGGAGGGGACTGTATGTGAATATACCTGCACAAAAAACCCAGCATGTAAAGGACTTTGAATTACCTTGTTGTTGAAATGTGCTATACAAATAAACTTGCCTTTGCCGTTCTATCCCGCAGTTATGCCGTTTAAGTACATGTAAAACGTGTTAAAACAGAGGAGCTAGCCTATTAAAGTCCAGGAGTTAATAACTGAATTAAAATAAATTAATTTATCATTGAGTTGAGAAGGTGCCAAAATCACATTTAAAGAAGTTACTTCCTCAAACAACAGACACAAAAAGGATGGAAGACTAAATCATGTGTGTTGACTCAGCAGGGATGATATTAGGCCTGAGTTGATCTACAGGAGAAACTATTAAAAATAAAGAACACCTGAGAGCCTTACTGCTTTATTCTGATATATTTTATATTTTGAATTGTCACCTTCCACCTGAATTTTGTGTTTCCCCTTAAAAACATTTCCATTTCCATAAATTGGTGAAAATCTTTACCAAAATGCAGGAAATTATGTCTTTAATGCTCAAAATCTCCTGGAGAAGGACCCCCAACCCCCCCAATTTAAGTGCACCATCCAAGAAAATGGTCTCTTTGTTTCTGAGTGGAACATTCACTTATTGATTAAATATAATTACTATTGACATGGCTTTTTTGGTCCCTGGGAAAGACATAAAAGTGTTGTTAATTAACTTATGTGCGTTTTTTCATGGTTTTAACAACAATAGTAACAACAACAATAATGATAATCAGCGATATTCAGGGAAAATGTCAACATCTTTTTGATGGGGAGCTTTAAGGGCCCTGGATAATGGATAGGGGGCTGGTCCAAAAAAGGTTGAGAACCACTGTTGTAACAAAGCTTCACCCTTTTGGTGAGAACTTTTCCCCTCTGTAAATAAGTGCGATATGCAGAAATAATTAATAAATCAATCAAATCTCATTCGCCTTTGGATGAATATACAACACAGTTACAAAAATCTGTGGGAATTCCCGTGGTAAATAGGGTGGTTACGTAGACACAGAGAGCTGTTCAATGTCCTTGGTGCATACTGACGCTCTCACAATAAAATTTTTGCACCAGCGTTCATTGATGTACAAACACACTCCCCCACCTCGCGACTCGCCGGTGATTGCAGTCTCTCGGTCCGTGTGCAGCGGCGCACCAAACCCGTCTATTGCCATCTCGCTGTCCAGGTCCTTCTCCCCGAGCCATGTTTCCATCAGCGCCAGGATGCAAGCTGCCTTAAATTCGTGCTGATAACGGACATGGGCCTGGAGATCGTCGTTGTTGCGGAGTGACCGGGCATTGGCCAGGATGACAGAAGGCAGGGCGATGCGAGCCAGGGGTTACCGTCTCGCTCGAATCCTCCTCTCCGGCCCCGCTTCCTCACTTTGCGGAGAGGTGCTCCAGTGTGTCCTCTCTTCCCCAAGCCGTGATCAAGCTCCTCCAAGTTGGGGAAGACCAAGTCAGAAGGTGGCTTGGTGTTCGTAGGGTTGTTGAATCCAAGCAGAAAGTCTCTGGTGTACTGGATCTTACTTGTTGGAGGGTCGTCCCGGCCTTGGACCAGGTAGGACGCCGACAGCAACACCACGAGTGCCAGCCACTCCATGCCAGTAGTAAGTAACATGATTTCTGTGGCTTGTGGAGATCAGTCCACCAAATGTAACACAAAGGCTCTAACATCACTAGAAACTGTAGAACCAAAACAGAAAAACTAAAACAAATTCCACACTACTGCTACTGCTGCCGGTCGCTGCGTGTGCATGCGCCCTACCTACTTCTACTTGATTACAGTTTGTAATTAAATTAACTAAAAGTAACTAAATAACATGTAACTAGTTACTTCCCAACACTAGTAACTGGAACATAATATTCATAAAAGGCCTAAACTAGTGGTAAACTATACAGTACATGAAAATGTATTGAATATGCTGAGATTATGTAAGTAATATGGTAACATTATACTAACAGCTGACTTGAAGAACATCAGGTCCGGTGCAGCTGACCTGCCGCCCGGTTGTGCATTCACGTCAAGAATGCTGCATTCAGTAACTGAGTACCGCAGTGTTACTTGGATTAGTAACTGTAAATGGAGTTTTTCCCGATCACTTTTAGAAAGCATTTGTTAAAAATTTTCTGAAAAACAGCACCAAGAAATGTTAACTAATAAATGAAAATGCTTTGAGAATGGTTGATTTGCACAATAAGAAAACACACAATGCAATATAGTTTTCCCTCACATAAAAAGACCCCCGCACATATATTTCAGCATCAAATGTTTAATCTAGATAGTGCTAAAAATCTTCTTGTCTTGTTCACATGCATCGTCACGTCTCATGACCCAAATGTATCATCACACCCCTGATCTAAGCCCTTATGTCCCCACCACTTTTCAATACGAAGTGGCGCCCTTGATTGACCCGCTCAGCTCTGCACCAGCTCCTCTCTACTTATACTCTCCACTACCATTACC